TTGAAGCTCCGACTGATGCATGGCAGAATACCAACAGAAGGAAGGCTTGAAATAAAAAACAAAAAGGCAAATGGGTAACGGTATGTGGTGATGGATGGTCACTTTTGGAAGCCTTAATCGTATGCAAAACCTTGGGGCTGGGTAAGATCATGTATTTTCTACCAAAACATTTGTCATATGTTTATGTATTTAGGTTATGCTAATGATGCGATGCAAACAGATTATTTTGGTGGAAACGTGACCGGTGGAACTTTTGTTGGTGTCAAGTGCATTGGAAACGAAACTAGTTTTCATGAATGCCAATACAATCAACAACTAACAGGTAAGGAAAGAGAAGAACAAAGTTCTGCCAACGCCAACTTAATTCGTCCGATGCGTTTGGTAGGATTACCCTGCTGTCAACTGTCACTCTGACATGTAGCGACATTCGATTTACTTAGGCCCGTAGCGTCAGTCGTTCCTACAATTGTAGGGCGCCCTTATGGCCTCCGTGATTGTCGTAGTTTTCTACTTTCTCCGTGTCAGCGCTCTATTTTGAGGTTATGTCACAAATAACTATTTGCATCAAATTGTGCTTGCTTTTGAGTTATATCATGTTTTATCAGCCTGAAATTTCCTACAATTTAAAAAGAAAACATATCTTCACAATAGGAGAGCGCTGACGCTGACACGGGACAGGTGCAATCTAGACATTTTTGAAGGAGAGAAAGGAGTATGACAATCAAGGAGGCCATAAACGCGCCCTACAATTATTGTGAGCCGTCTTTATGCCTCCTTGATTTCATAGTATTTTCTCTCCTTCAGAAAGGCCTGGGGATTTTCTAGTTTTAAAAGCTGTTCCGTGTCAGCGTCAGCGCTCTCCTATTGTGAAGTTATGTTTTATTTTTGATGATATAAATCAAAAAGCATAAACATTTAATGCAAATAGATATTTGGGACATAACCTCAAAATAGAGCGCTGACACGGAACAGTGGAAAACAGTGAGATCAAGGAGACCATGAAGGCTCCTACAATATTGTAGGTACGACTGACGATGTGGCCCTGATTCTACATTGTTGGTGGTTATACTCGGATTCAATATAATACGTTATAGACCAGCACATTTTTGTTTCACCACAGATGGTCCAAAGTTGAGGAAAAAATATCAGAAAGTTATAAATCCCAAAATAGTCCTTATTTGATCATGGTTCCTTAATATCTTTAACTACATTGCACTTGTATATGATAAAGCAACTATCTAGAAGTATTTTATAGAAAAAAATGAACAAAGTATACCCTTATTTGTGCATGCAGCTAAAGATCACAGATGAAAAGGTTCGTTTTTTTTAAATTCATAAAAAGCCTACCTCCTTAGGTTTGTTGTGGTACTTATTAGACACCCTGTATACAGGGTGATTCACAAGTCATGACCAAAAATGAAACATCATACACGGGACCGCATTTTAAGGAGGGTCACCTATGTAACATAAGACCTAAGTCTTGTCCAATGTCAAAAGTCTTTACTAAAAGATAACGTGCACCAGTGACGGAGCTACAGGGGATTAGTGGCATTATTTTACCAAATAAAAATTTTTTGTTCTTTGTTCGTTGAAAAAATGTTACATAGAAGACTCCCCTCAAGATGCGTTTCATTTCTGGTCACGACTTGTGAATCACCCTGTATATATGAAAGAAACATGATTTTTCTTATTTAATTTTCTATTACCTTAAATCCTATACTCCTTCTTACCGGTTTTCTCACGGCTTCTTCGACGGATGAGGGAGACTAATTATGGTTGAAAGACGCTTTTCTTTTTAAAATCGTAATTTTCAGGCCAGTGCAAGAGTCGCGATCTAGCCGCCGTCTCATGCACTAATTCGATGGCCGACTTGATTATCGATCACATGGAACTGATTCAGACCGCACACTTGGAGGATAGACCGATGTTCTTCTTGCAATGCGCCATGGAAGAGAACTGCGTCGCTTCATCGGCTTACGAGATACAAAAAGAGAATCCCGGCTGGCACTTGGAGACTAGGAGGCTTCTCAAGTTCACTGCGAAGATCTTTAACGCTGGTACCGCCGACTTCCGGCCCGCGATACCGAAACATTTGTGGGAATGGCACATGTGTCATATGTGAGTATCATTGCGACTTCAATATACGAGCCCCTTCCCACTTCAGTTGGCCCACGTCAAGATTTGTACCAAAATATGCCTTCATGACGAAACTATTTACTTCTAAAACAATTTATTTTCTCAAAAACATTTTAGATACACTCTAGTCGTAAAAAATACATATTTGAAATCACTTAGACCTATAGCTAATAGAACATCTGAACAAATAAACAATGTGCGAATAAATGCGCGAAGTTAACAAAGCAACAATTGAAAGATTGCCATTGGGTAACATCACCTTTAGTTTTTATTACGGCTGAAATTCTTTGGGGCATAGTGTTAAGCAAGGTTTGGCAAAAATTTGGTGTAAAACAATCCCATATTTCTTGAAGCTTTTGTCTCAGTTCGGTGATTGTACGAGCAGGATGTTGTTGTAGAACCTTTTTCATCTCGTGCCACAAAGTTTCAATAGGTGACAGATCTGGACTGCTAGAAACCCGTTTCAAAAGTGGTACATTATTTTTTTCCATCCATTTTATAGCCTTTTTTGAGGTATGGCACGCTGCACCATCTTGCTGAAACACAAAATCTTGGCCGGATGTCAAACATTCTTCCATCACTGGTAAAAGCGATTCTTCCAAAATTGCCAAATATTTGTTTGTATCCACATTACCATCAATAAAATGAAGTTTTCCTACTCCTTTTGATGACATACTGCCCCAGACTATAATGGATGCTGAAAATTTCACTTTTCTCTTCAGACAGTCAACATGGAATGCTTCATTTTTTTTGCGAATAACTCTACTGCGACTGTCACCAATACAAACTTCGAATCGGGCCTCATCACTCCATAGTATTGCACACCATTGTTGAGGTGTCCATTGTCTATGTTCTTTAGCCCATCTAAGGCGATTTTTCTTTTGCAGTGGAGTTAATAGTGGCTTTTCTTTGGCCTATAAACAAGTTCTGCAACTTTAGGGTTTTTACTTCACTTTTTTTTATAAGAAAACTTACCTTGCAAGTGCTAAATCCCAGTTTGTGGGCCTCTCTATGAGTTGTGGGCCTCGAAATTCTCCTTCCAACAGTGTCACTCCACAGAGCACTCAATTGAGTATAGATGGGTGGCTGACTTTCTCTCCGTCGGCTTTTTTTGACATTATACCGGGTGACAATGACAATTGAAAACACGCTGTATTTTTCTGGCAAATAGTGATATCGCTCCAAGATTGGTACATGTTTAGTTAGTCATTAAGATGCATTTCTGGAAAGTGTATCTCCCTTCCGGTTTAATCGGAAGTGACCTTGACTTTCGTTTCTCAAATTTAAACCTGTAAATTTTCTTCCATAATCGTACTCTATGCAAAATTCCCTTTCCAACGATGTTTACAAGAGACATTTTCGTTTTAAAATGGTGGCACTATAAACGAATTTATCATTAACCTAAAATCCGCCATATTGCATACAAGACGAAAAATATTTTAAACGGTCAAGGTAGCGTAATCAACAACGGGTGAAAGCTTGTAATTATGTGTTTTTCATGTTAGTATACTTATTTGGAAAAATATCAGAAATCCACATCGTCAACACAGCATTTCTCATAGATTTTAAATGGGACCCTGTCTACCTTTTCAGAAATCTTATTCTACGTAAAGTCTAATTCTAATGATGTATAACAAGTATTACTGTTGTTGTCAAACGACAGCTGCATAAGGGATAGTTCCACCGTTAGTTAAAGAGGATGTCCATCATCCTGCGCTGATCTTTGAGTTCAATACTTCCAGGTCTCAAAGAAAATTCTCATTTGCAAATTCTGCAAGGTACAAATTTCGTAAAGCTAGATACCCTGAAATGTACAGAGCCTTCCTGGATGTTAATTGGACTCAGGTGATCAATGCAGACAGTGTGGGCGACGCTTGTGTTGCCTTATATTCTGTAATTAATAACATATTTGAAGTCCATGTTGCTAAATGTTAAACTAAACAGTTTTCAGATGGCATTTGATCCAGTTGATGATTATGTATTTCTGGATAAGGTTAGGACCGTAGGTTTACCTGAGGAACTGTTGTCGCTCCTGAGTTCATACTTGATGGACAGAAGGTTGTTTGTTGAATATGGTGGTTATAGGTCGAGTAATTATCATGCCACATCTGGGGTGCCTCAAGGATCGAATTTAGGCCCATTATTGTTCCTGATCTTTATTAACGATCTGTCTCTTGAGCTCAAGTGTTTGCATCCGTTTTTTGCTGACGACGTTAAGATTTACGCATCGGTCGAGTCAACTGATGATTGTCTCATGCTGCAGGATAATTTAGACTTAATTTCTTTATGGTGATCGCGAAACTGTCTTAGTTTAAATGTTTCTAAATGTAAAGTCGTGTCTTATACAAGAAAGACTAATTATTTAATATACGATGATTATAACGTCAACGGTTATAGACAGGTGCTACTCTTTTAAGGACCTTGGAGTAACCTTTGATAGCAGGCTAGTGTTTAGCGAACGTATATTTAATACCTCATCGGCTGCCACCAGACTCCTTGGCTTCTGTATCAGAAACTGGAAGGGGTTCTCCAATGTCAGTACTTTAATGACTTTGTTCGTTACTATTATCGGAAGCAACTTGGAATATGCAACCCTGATCTGGTCTCCAATATACCTAAATTCAGTTTCAATGATTGAAGGCATTCGACGTAAGGCTATTAAGTATTTTTACCTGAAATGTACTGGTTCTTATCCAGAAAGAGGTTTTTGTCATCATACCCTTTTGAATTTTTTCGATTTAGATTCACTATCAATTATACGTAATATGTTTGCCTTATCGTTTTTGTATGGCCTTATGCACAATCAAATTGGCTGTCCGGATTTACTTGAAAAAATATATTTCCGCATTCCAAGGCTTGAAAGTCGTCAACAATCAGCCTTTTATTGTCGAGCAGGCAGGACGAACGTAATGTTGAAATCTCCAATTTATGTAATGTGCAGTCTGATGAACTATATTTGTGATCTGTGTGATATTTATAATGACAGCTGTAAATCAATCATAAATTGCTATAAGTCATCGATTGTTCTCTGAGCTTACTTAGGCCACTGATGCTAAGTTTAAGTTTTCAGTGTGACTCTTTATTTTCTTTTTGTTAATGTATTTGAGCTTTTCCTGTAGGAAATATGAAATATAAGTAAATATGAAATATAAATAAATAAAAGAATTTGTGAATTAACCTCCATAAGCTATGGGTATTACAAAACAAAAAGTAGGTTTTTTTGGCTCTGAATGAAAACGCATTTCCACTGATGTTCTGCAGTCTACCATCGGTTCAATAACAAATTAAAATTACAGCTATTTCATAGAAGCTACCAATCGCCGCAAGAAAGTTATGGAGGCTATGAAAATTTAGGATGTTTTCAAATAGCATTTATTTGAAAAAAATTGTAGGCCGTGGAAAACAAATGAAAGTCAGCCGCAACCGCTTTAAATTTTCCTCGTTTGTTCCAGGCATTACCACAGCATGGAAGTGTTCGCCACATTCGACATCTTCAATTCCAAGGGCAAGCGGGTCGCTGAAGGACACAAGGCTTCTTTCTGTCTCGAAGACAACCAATGCCTACCCGGCGTCGAGCCCAGATTCGCATGCGCAAACTACGGTGACCAAGGCATATCAGTAAACTGCTCGGACATCTACAAATACACAGTTGATTGTCAATGGGTGGATATCACCGACCTTGATCCCGGTCACTATACGATGAAAGTGGCCGTCAATCCGGAATACAAGGTTCCCGAGATGACATTCGAGAATAACGCTGCTTATTGTGATTTCTTCTACGAGGAGACCTTCGGTAGTGTAAGAAACTGTGTAGTGCGAAGGCCGTAAGAAACAGTGAGCGCCCGCAAAAGTCAAACTTCGCAATCTTCAGTTATTTCCGTCTGGCAGTTAACTGTCAAGATAACAAATCTTTGCAAGACAGTTAATGTGATGCTAACTGTTAGATAACAGTTGATATGAATTTATGAATCTAACCCTCAATCTGTGACTGAACATCCGCGGTTAATTTTCAAATTGGGTCACTACGACCTGGCTTTTCAATTTCAGGTTATTTATGACTTTACTTAATAGGCTAGTTGACACTTTTTTTAGTAGGTCTTAAATAGTTAATCTTTGCTCTATTAGACCAAAAAATTGATACTATATTTTTTTCAGACCTTGAAGATCGTAAAACTCCAAAAATATATTTTTCTTAGACAGCCGAAGACGCTGATCGCCATGTTTGGCCCATATTAATGAGCTCTGACGTCATACCATTTGCAAACAGCAGCTCTCAAACTTTTAAACATATAAACATCACTTCTACTAACTTACATGATTTTGTTGTTGTTGTTGAAGATTTATTTAGCATTAATGCTACAATGTCAATTTTGTATAATGATTCGGTTACATATTTTTCTTCAATCCATTTTCTGTGATTTTACATTCTTGCCTATTAAAATTAAAATTACGACACTATGTATTGTATTATTCGTAAAGTGATTTTTTTATTTCACCTTAAACATTTTTAAATTCGAACTTTCTTTAATATCATTATTCAATTTAGTAAATTCAAATACTCCCTTTTGAAATATAGATTTACTAGTTATGCTCCTATTACAATTTTGCAGATGAAAACCTATACTGCCTCTAGTTTCGTAGTTATGATAATGACTTTTTAATTTAAATGTGGTGGTAATTTGAATATGAAAACTAGAACATTATAATATATGCAATTTTTCACATCCAACCACTACAGTTCTTTTAATATAGTCTTAATCTTAGTATATTTGTTTTTATTTAAAATGATTCTCATAGCTTTATTAATTCAATTTGTAATTTTGAAAATATGTTTTCATTTGCTGTAAACAAGATGGTTGAACAAGATGAAAAATGGGGAAGAATTATAGTGTTATACAGATTTTTTTTGGAATACATACTAAGATTATGGGAAACTCTATAGAAGTAATTTATCTTTTTCGATATTTTTGAAATAATGTATCCATAATGTTCGTGAAACAGCTTACTATCCACATTTTATCAAGATATTTAAATGAATCGACTACTTCAATTTTTTCATTATTAATCATGAGAATAATTGTATTTTTTTGTTTCCCTATTGACATACATTTTGCTTTATTAGTGTTTAATTTGATTTTATTGACATTTAACCAATTCATAATTTTTTTAATAACACCAGCAGTTCTAAAGCAGTGTCCAAATGGTTATGTGATATATATATATATATATATATATATATATACAGGGTTATCCAAGTTAAGTGTCCACCATTGGTAACTTTGTTATTAGTAAAAATACAAAGTTGTTTAAATTAGCAAACTAGTAGCATTTTTAACGCTGGTAAAAACGAGAAATAAAAAAAAACAATTGAGAGTCGTTATTTTGATTTTTTTCAGTAAAATAACATTTTTTTAAATGGAAACCCCTGTATATTATATTTTTTTCTGTTAAAGCATCAAATTTTAAACAAAAAAGTTCATAATGACTTTTCCGCTAAAGTCAAAAATAAAGTCAAAATAACGATAAATATTTTTAATTATTTGCAGTTTTATAATATTAAGACGGCTATGAAAACAACATGGCGTTCGCGGTTTGACAGCATTAAGATAAGCGACAAATTGTTAAACTGGACATACTCGCAACTAGAAGGCTTTGGAAAACAATGATAAAATCAAGTAATGTCAAACATTAGTGTAAATACTTGTTTATAAGCTTTATTGTGTCATTAATTTAAAGAAAAATGTTCTCACATGAAGAAAAGTGTGATATGTTAGAATGCTATTTAGTGTGCAGAAAATCCTCCTTGAGAGCAAGAGAATACTACAGTGAATTATATCCCGCTCGCATTCAACCGTATGAACGATATTTTCTGAGACTTTATCGAAAATTTAGGGGCAACGAAAATGTTTTTGCTAAAACAAGGGCAAAAAAAGAATTCATAATAAGCGAGGCCACGGAAATTGCAGTTATTGGATACTTTGAAGCTTATCGTGAGAATTCAATAGCAGATATTCTCAAGGACTCTAATTTCAGTTATGGTACTGTTCAAAGGATTTTAAAAAAATACAAATTTATTCCGTATAAGTACCGACCAGTTCAAACGCTTTTGGCAGGGGATCCAGAGAGAAGACTTGTTTTTTGCCATTGGTATCTTAGCTTCTGTCGCCAAAATGTAAATAACTTTCGTTACCTTTTATGGACAGATGAATCAAATTTTTCAAATTCTGGAATGTTTAATAGAAAAAAACCACCATTATTGGTCAAGAGAAAATCTTTTGTTAGTACATCCAAGAGGCCCACAAGTCCGTTTCAGTTTCAACGTTTGGTGCGGTATAATTGGTTCAAAAATTGTTGGCCCTTTCTTTTATGAGGGAACCCTAACTGGTGAAAGATATGTGGAATTTATGTCAGAAATTCTGACTAATTTCTTAGACGAATTGGATCTTATAAGTAGACATCATCTGCATTTTCAGCAAGATGGCGCACCTGCCCACAACTCCAGAGGTACTTATCATTTTCTAAGTACTACTTTTAATGATCAGTGGATAGGAACATATGGCCCAATACAGTGGCCTCCCAGATCACCAGATCTAAACTCACTTGATTACTTCTTGTGGGGTTACTTAAAGAACCAAATTTACAAGCGAAGGTACGATAACCTTGACGCGTTAAAGACTGCAGTTAGGGAAAAGATAACCCAGATAGATGGTAGGACCATACTTAAGACAGTTCGAGCAGTTGAAAAACGTGCCCAAAAATGTATTGAATAACAAGGTGGTGTTTTCGAGCATCTTCTTTAAAAAAAATTGTTATTGTATTTTGTAAGATTATAAGTTGATGTTGAAAATAAAGTTTGTCGATACAATTTAATTGTTTCAGATTGGAGGCCATAACTTCAACAATTTGTAACCTAGGAGAAAAGTTATTGTAAGCTTTTTTGTTTAAAATTCGATGCTTTAACAGAAAAAAATATAATATACAGGGGTTTCCATTTAAAAAAATGTTATTTTACTGAAAAAAATCAAAATAACGACTCTCAATTGTTTTTTTTTATTTCTCATTTTTACCAGCGTTAAAAATGCTACTAGTTTGCTAATTCAAACAACTTTGTATTTTCACTAATAACAAAGTTACTAATGGTGGACACTTAATTTGGATAACCCTGTATATACGTATATATATATATATACAGGGTGTTTCAGTTTATTGTTGCATAACTTTAAGATTCGATAGAACTTTTAAAATTAATGCATAAAGTCTATATAAACATGGGTCGAAAAATGCGTGGCCTCCGAAATACAGGGTGTTTAAATTTACTTTCTAAAATAGTTTTTTTTAAATATTTCGAACAATATTTGATGTATAACAGTGAAAATTGGTATACAAGGGTTTTTTGGTACGACAAAACGAACCATGGGCAAAGTTTTATTGTAGCCGCTAGAGGGCGCTCTCTACTGTACCTGTAGTGTGTTAAAATGACCGAACATTTTTTCTTAGTGCAATTTTTTGCTTTTTGATTAAAAAAACTGATTTTTCGCACTTTTCAACATAAAAAAGCTCTCTTGTGAATTTTCGTTATAGTTAACCGTTTTTGAGATATTTCGATTTTTAAGGTTCGATGCATTTTTAATTATTTATGATAAAATAACGTTAAAAAGTCAGTATATCGATAATTTTTAGAAGTAGGCTGTGCCTGCAAATATTTTTGAAATTGAAAGCAGAATAAGGTTAAACGTCAATTATTTGACAGTTAGTTTTGTTGTCTGTTGAAACCTGAAACGTTTTTTTGCAATTGTGAATGCACGAAATTTAGTTTCTTTTACCTGTTTTTTTTTGTAAGTTTTATAAAAATGCCATTTTTATTCTCCAATCAAGAGTTAGCGGATATTCATTTTGTGTATGGCTTTGTAAATGGAAACGCAGCAGAAGCAGCCAGAGAATACGCACGAAGATTTCCAAACAGACGACATCCAACTCGCTCAGTATTTGTAAGAATGCATCGCCAAATAATTGAAAATGGAAAGGGATCAAAACATAAATGTTCGTCAGCGCAGATTTACCCGTATGATTCTGCGTGAGTTTGATAGAGATCCGACCACAAGTGTTAGGAGAGTTTCTGGTGCCTTGGGAATTTCAGCAAGCCATGTTCACCGTGTTCTTAGAAATGACCATAGACGTCCTTACCATTTGCAACATGTGCAAGGACTACAGCCAGGGGACGGAGAACGAAGAATCACATTTTGTCAGTGGATTCTTGATAGAACTGATAATAATAGGGAGTTTTTAAGTAACGTTTTATGGACCGATGAGTCATGCTCCACTAGACGTGGAGCGGTAAATTTTCATAATCAACATATTTGGACGCATGAAAATCCGCATGCAGTTCGGGAAAGAAATTTTCAGCATGAATTTAGTGTGAACGTGTAATCGACTATTTCGACCCTACCTTTTGCCTGCAAGGTTAAATGCTGCGACCTTCTTGGAATTTTTAAAGGCTGAACATGCAAATATGTGGGATGATGTTATGTTAGATTTAAGAAGATTGGCCTGGTTCCAGCTTGATGGTTGTCCAGCTCATTATTCGAGAATAGTTAGAAACTGGCTGGACGAAAATTATCCAGAAAGATGGATCGGCCGTGGAGGACCAGTCGCCTGGCCTCCACGATCCCCTGACCTAAATCCATTAGATTTCTTTGTGTGGGGATTTCTAAAAGAAAAAGTGTACCAGACTCCCGTAACCACAAGAGATATGCTAATAGACAGAATCAGGGAATGCATGTGATGAAATAAGGCCTTATTTGAATAATGCTATACCACGTTCGATCATTCGTAGATTTGAATTGTGTATTGAAAAATTGGGTTTACATTTCGAGCAACTACTTTTGATTTTGTATGTTTGTCCTAACTATCCAATAGCATTTTAGTTGTAAATAATTAATTTAATTTGTTACAAATAATATTGGAGAATTAAACAAATTAATATTCTGTTTTTTGTGTATTTGAAGTTAGGAATTATTGCTGTGTTTAAAAACACAATCTAAACGATGATCTTAATTACTTGTAATGCCCAAATCGAAAATGTAAAAAAAAATATTATTTTCTCGCAGGAGAGCTTTTTTATGTTGAAAAGTGCGAAGAATCAGTTTTTTAATCAAAAAGCAAAAAATTGCACTAAGAAAATTTTTTCGGTCATTTTAATACACTACAGGTACAGTAGAGAGCGTCCTCTAGCGGCTACAGTAAAGCTATGCCCATGGTTCGTTTTGTCGTACCAAAAAACCCTTTTATACCAATTTTCACTGTTATACATCAAATATTGTTCGAAATATTAAAAAAAAAACTATTTTAGAAAGTAAATTTAAACACCCTGTATTTCGGAAGCCACGCATTTTTCGACCCATGTTTATATAGACTTTATGCATTAATTTTAAAAGTTCCATCGAATCTTAAAGTTATCCAACAATAAACTGACACACCCTGTATAAGTGTATCGTACGCAAATATTCGAACTTTGCAGTGCTCCAAAATGTCAGAGACATCATTTATATAAATGATAAATAGTAACGGCCTAATTTACTCCCCTGTGGCACCCCTATTGAT